ATCACTCTAAATCTCATTGGTTCACATGAGCTTCTTATCAAGAGCGCCACTTCCGCTATAACGCAGATAGTTCTCGTCGAAAACGACGAGGGTCTCCACTCTAATAAACGTACGGTAAAAATATCTGGGCATCAGGTAATGACAGAAGAACGTTTCGCGGCATCTTCTTCATTCCGTCTTCCTGCATCAATCAAACCACGATAAACTAGTCAAACATTGCTTAAGGGTTCCTACTCTTGCCCACGATGGAAAACAATGGTGGCCGTCAATCCTACATGTAACACGCTCCATTCCATCCCTACTAGGACATTAGATGGGTCTCGAAGTACATAACAAGAACACTTTTCAAAGTGAATTCATTCCAGTCTGACACTAAGCCAGTCGTCCGGCAAACCTGATGACACGAAGTTCCGTGATCTCATGGCAATTTAAAGGTGCCTCCGACCATCGTTCAGATCGGGACGTTCGCTGCATTTAAGGTGGCGCGTTGTCTGTCTTTCATTCTCTACCATGCAAATCGGAACCAAACCGACCGATGAAAACTGGTACTGCTGACGGTATCATAAAATCAACGTTTCCTGTAATAATCATCTATGTTTTATTTGCTTCAGGTTTCTGCTACTGTTTCTGCTACTAATGTCTCTGATGATGAATCTGCGACGGGTGTCGAAACGTCAGGCGAATAAATGTATTGTCCCAGCGATCGAGTCTTCTTCTTCTCAATTGCTTCCTGGGACACGCGTGTTCGCTTGTACTGAAGATAACACACAGACACCTGGAGGATAAAAACCATAAGAAAGATAATAGCGTCAAATTAGTAAATCTGACCTGTGACTGGATGAACGACCTAAAGTTTGTTACTGGATCAACTTTAATGACCACATTGCACGCGCGCACGTCCAGACCCTCCTCGATGACATCGGTCGCCACCAGGACGTTGAATACACCCTTCCGAAAGCCGTCAAGCACATCCAGCTGTTCTCCCGTGCTCATGGATGCCTAAAATATTTTTTAAAAAAGGTAGACTGACACCTACTAGCAGGTAGAAGGACTTGCCAATGGACAGAAGACACCCTCAAGGACAATAAGATGACAAAATATGTGGGTGCCGACAACTAAATTAAGTTTTGAAATACATACATTTGATTAAGGATTGCCCTTAGCATCCTACAAAGCAACGGCGCTTTCTCGCGAGTCGTTTCCTGAAATTCTGAAATGTCTCTGCGACTCCAAACGACTGCTAACGTAAGGTTCTTATTTATGCAAATACTTTTTTATTTAAGATATAAATATAAAATATACATAATAAACTAAATATATAATTTATAGAATATTTTTTTTTCGAGAATTCTTAGGTAGCCAAGTACGTCTTCTAAAAAGCTTTGATTGGAAGAAAGGGTATTTTTTCGGTTTTTGAAAAAGTTTCTAAATGTGTTGTCAATTTCACAACACGTCCTGGAACTCGTCGAAACCAACGGTTGAACCGTTGCATAAAATGAAGGCAAGCCGGCTGCGCGACAGAGCTCGTGCTACAAGTCTGAGGGGGTTACTCAAACATCAGCAGTGAAGGACAGGTGCTTGGGTTCCTGCTTAATGTGGCCTTTTGACAGAAATCACCGATGCAGTATCAGGATAGGGCAGAGTAGAGGGCAAGATTTCAGTCTACTAACGGCAATCAGAAAACGACGGAGAGATGCCGTTCAGAATCGTTAGAAGGCTCCAACTCGC